GAATTTTAAGATTATTTATTATCCTCCTCTGATTTGACTGACTGGTGGTGATAATATCTTCCATGCATATCTCTGGTATCTGCATTGAGTCATTTCTGTTGCATGTGTGGTGTTGGGTGTAGACTCGATGAACCAGGATTCAGTGATCAATCTCTCTCCACATACATAGAATAGTTTTTAGAATTTTAACCCTCTCCCACTCTATTGTGTGGTTGTGTGATAATGCATGCATGCAGTGCAACTGCTGAACTTTTTTCTCAAAATTACTCATCTTCTCGGGATTAACCATTCCTACCTTAGCTAAATTCTTGTGTTCCGACAATCTGATTACCCCCGATCTACTAGTTTGACCTATATAGTTGACCTCACTGGCAGTCATTGGAAGGTATTTTGTAAATTATATTATTTTGTTTAATTGGGTCCACCGGGTCTTCTAGCCTACAGAGCTTGTCCCTGTCTGAGTGAGTTTGTAGGTTTGAATGTCACCCTGATTCCTGCTTTATTAAGAATCCTACGTGGAGAGCGTCTCAGATGTCCCCTTCTTATATGGTATAACACTATAACAATAATCCGGGGACAATTGAGTTGTGGTGAGAGCTGTCTGCAATGCCAAAATTGTAGACAACAATTTACGTCCCGAATTGGGGTGATGAGAAAAGACAATAACAAGAACAAAGCTGACTAACCTTGAGGAACACAACAACCAATCACAGCAGACTTAACGTGTACAAATGCGAATCGCAGATATACGGACTGACTTTCTAAGAAACTGCCACAAAGAGATGATAGAATAGCCTTCAGGAAGAAAACAACCAATTAGAAGAGGTTGATTCTCTGCTAACAATAATACTAATAATAATGTTTATAAAAATCTATAAACATTTCTTGATTTTCTCAATAAACGATCTATCTGGCCTGACCCGTGTCTTCTGTCGTTACAGAGTGACATCTCACGCCAAAAACAGACACGAGTTGGATATGGCTCTAAGGGTGACACATAGAGGGCATCGTTGGGACTAGGAGATAACAGTCCAGCGGACAATCAACGAGCCAGATTTAAAAAACAGCTGCAGAAAACAGAATGAAATGCAGATGTGTTGTTGAAGTGTTACATTCTATACTCAGAGTGTTGGGAAAAGAGGGAAAATCAATCGAAGAGGCTATAAAGCTACATAGATTGAGATGGCTAGGTCACGTGATGCGCATGCCTAACCATCGCCTCCCTGCCCCCGACGGACGGGCATTACTAGCTGATATAGGTGCAGGTTGAAGAAGAGTAATTGGTGGCCAAACAAAAACATCGCATCAATCAATCCATGAAATCCTTGACAGTTAAACTGAGTCAGGTAGAGAGGGAGATGCAGACTTCCTAACTGGTTGGGGCCCGCCCTCGGGACTCTAAGAATCAATCAATGGCTGGAGACAATAGGTGACATGGCTCAAAATCGTTGTCAATGGCTTACGCAGATGTATTCAGTCTCTTGCGTAATCTTTCATATTGCTTTCTACCATCATTACTCATTCTGTTTCACTCTTATACTTGTCAAAACTCTATTGGTTCTCTTCACTCATCTTCTTGTCTTGTCTACCTTTGTGTGCCATTTGGAACGTGGCAACTGGAACTGTTGCACTTCGGTGCCAAGTTCTATGTTGAATCCAAACAGCCAGCCAGTCATACTCAGAACGTGTGATTTTGAATTCTAAAACAAAAAATAAACTTGACTGTGGCCAAAAATATTTTTTCAGTTGATTTTTGTACAAATCTCAAAGACAATTAAAATAGAGACCTGAAAATCAAAAATGTGAACTATATTGTAAACAGCTTTGAGTTGACGCTGTTTTCACAAAAACACAAATATAATTCTAGCCGCCAAACACAATCTACCGTTTCTCTCCCGACACGGGACTACTCATACTACAGGGGGGGGGGGTAAAAACACAAACCATAGAGACCAGCAAACAGATGCACACGTAAGCCCGCTTATACATACAGGCGTAAAGAAAAACAGCGTAAAATCTTCTGTTTTTTTTTTTCAAGGAAATATCATATGTCCTTTTTACTCAAACGAAATCGTACGATCACATGGGAACATAAACTGAAATAGCAGAATATAGCGGCCATTTAAAAAAAGAAACACAATTTTCAACAGAAAAAAATTTTTTTTTAAAACAGCTTTGCTTAACTACGCATTAACCTAATGAACAACAACGCCATCACACAAAATACAAAAAAATACATGATAATAATAATAATAATAATCATGAGTCTAAAGCGGAGAAAATAATGATTCCGCTGTCACTCTTATGTATATCATCGGCCTTTCTTTGCTTGGAACAGACAGAAAAGAAATGAGATCAAAAACTGCACAAATTTATATTGTGCCAAAAAAAAAATCAAAAACTAACAAACAAAAATATTTTCTGTATAGTTTGGTTTGTAAGAGGTAGTTTTGTTTATTTACGAGTTGATCACGGATTGATGACATCAGTTAGAGAACCATTGAAAACCAGGATCACAGGGAGTACTGCCAGACAGCTGTTTCATCCCACTGCTTTGGGAATCATCGGCAGTACGCACCCACCACAGGGGTGGTTCGAACCCACGACCTTCCGGTTACAAGGCAGGTTAGCTCGTATACCTAACATTCAGCCACTGGGACCCGACTCCTCAATGGCCATTTCATGAATTCTAACTTCTACCAATTCGTGATTTAGCGCGACTTTCACTAACCAGTGTCGTTGGTGGGCCACATCCATCCTCACACGTGACATCTGGATGGGACTACCTGGTTTTCAATGGTTCTCTAACTGATAGCAATCCGTGATCAACTCGTAAAAAGATTATATATATATATATATATATATATGGTGAGTCGATTCTAACTCATCGAATTTCAAATCATTCACTTGTCTGTGTTATTGATTTATACAAACGTCAACGTGTACGATGGAGGTGGACTGCTTAAAACTTAGGCTACCAAAAAAAATTCCATCAATGATAATCTCACACATTCAGTTTATTTTAATCCAGTAAAAGAATATAATCTCTAATAGTTCTGTTTTCACTCTGGCGGGTATTTAAAACATTTATAACCTGATGATTCGTCAGTTTCTACTAAACATATGAAGAAAAAGCACTATCCCTAGTTGGTAAGCTTGTGGTGAGAGCTGGCTGCTAGCCAAATAGTGGTAGACAGTAATTTACGTCAATGTTTACGTCCTCAATATTGGTCGGGAGACAAAAATAAGAACGAAGACTGATTCAACAACCAACCATAGCAGACTTGGCGTAGGCGGATACAGTTAGCATGTAGATGATCTGACATTCAAGAAACACCCACAAAGAGATGAAAGATTAACGTTCAACTAGAAACAACCAATCAGAAGACTGTGTTTTTCTACTAACAATAATCTATAATAATGTACATGAAAAGCTATAAATATGTGTTGATTTCCTTAATAAACGATCTGTTGTCTGGCCCTTGTCTACTGTTGTTACAAACGGAACTGACAGGGATATCAAAGCAAAGATCGGGAAAGCAAGACAACCCTTCATTACTCTCAAGTCTGTGTGGAGGTCAACAGCACTACTCACCATCAAAAACAAGATCCGGATTTTCAACTCCAATGTGAAGTCAGTGCTACTTACTATACGGATCAGCGACTTGGCCAGCGCGTCATAAAGAGCATCTCAAACAAACTACAAACCTTCATCAACACCTGTCTTCGCCCAATACTCAAGATCAGATGGCCGGTCAGAAAAGATCAGCAACACGGAGGGATCTCTGGCAATGAGCGAACCAACTCAGCAGGAACCGATTGTGCAACAAATCTGCAGGAAGAAATGGAGATAGGTGGATTGTAGGCCATACTCTGAGAAAGCAAATCATCAAGTGACATCACTAGACAAGCCATCGCTCGAGTGGAACCCGAAAGGAAAGTGGCGAGTTGGTCGTCAGTGCAAGGGTGACTTGGAGGAGGAGGTCATGTGAAGAGGAGATGAAAGCATGTGGGCAGACGTGGAGTCAGGTGAAAACCTTAGCAGAGAACCGAACGCAATGGAGACGTGCAGCTGAAGCCCTATGTTCCTCTAGGAATTAAAGGAAACAATAATAGTAATAATACTATCATATAACAGACTAAAAGGGAAATGGTGCCTGGTACATGTATATATATATACATATATATATATGTATGTATATATAGGTGGGTGAAGGTACTGACTCCTGCGATTCTTGCAGCAGTACTTTTCACTTATACACCACAAAGTGGACACTGATCGCCGACTGATTATTAAGTGCGATTCGGACAACCTGCAATCTCATCGACTCAGACTAACTTGCTCTCCTCTTTTAACACGCTATGCTCAACCTGAATATTGTTCAGCATATTATACCACCTAACACAGAAGAGAGAATGCAAATAATTCATGACTTTGAATAGAGGTGAAATGCTGGAATGTGACAGAATTTGAACGATTAGCCTAAGAGTTATTATTGAAGCAGTCTACAGACTTAATTTACTCCAGAAAAGAGACTTTTGAATCTTTTTTTCTTCATCAGCTAAGCTTTCACTTCAACTTGAATTCAACATCTTCAGAGAAACAATGAGTTACAATACAAGTAACCTAGAAAGTATGAAAACACACACAAAAACAACCAATCACGTCCAAGGTCACCCGCCAGGAGAGATGATTAATAAACTCGTGGAGAAATCTAAGAGCTCACTTCAATTCAAATTGAAGTATGCGCTGAAGATGTCACCTAGTGTTGGGCCGATGAAAGCTTCGCAAATTAACTATCCAGCTAGCTCAGAGAACACAACCACATGAAAAACATCTTCTTCACTCAATAAGACCAGTCTTCTGAAATCTCTATACTATTCCCATCCCTAATTTAAAGCTATTCATATTTAAATGAAGAGATTAGGCTAGAGTAGCTGATACGTTAAATATGAGGTTACTGATGTCAATCCCGCTGAGACTGAAGGTGTTTGCTCCTTCAGATAGTCTACAATAAAAAAACACACCGAAAGTAAACACGCCTATCCAATGCTTTACTAAATTGTATAAGGATTTCAAAAACACAGTATACAGAACCCTAACTAATTCCTAGAGTTAAGACAAAGCATACATTAAATATTTTTTTTTAAAAATCAATGTTGCCTTTATGGGGAATGTGATCGATACTGAAAGTGGATTTCATTATAAAACTGAAAATCACTCATAAAACTATTGAAAGACAATTTAAAAAAAATACTGGAGGGCAATTTCAAGTCGGTTTTCAAGTCTTCAGTCACACATACTCACGACTCTATCAACGCCAGAGATTAAATCCTAGGCCGTCATAGATTGTAGTGTGTGGTGAGAGCTGTCTGCTGGCCGAATTGAGGTGATGAAAAGAGACAATAACAAGAATAAAGCTGCCTAACCTTGAAGAACTCAACAACCAATCACAGCAGACTTAGTGTGTGCAAATATGATTCGCAGATATACGGACTGATTGTCTAGGAAACAGCCACAAAGAGATGATAGAATAACCTTGAGCAAGAAAACAACCAATCAGAAGACGCTGTTTCTTTGCTAACAATAACCTACAATAATAAACATAAAAATATATAAATATCTGTTGATTTTCTCAATAAACGACCTGTCTGGCCTGGCCCTTGTCTTCTGTCGTTACAGTAGTACCTCGGAATGCATACTTTCCTCTGAAATCCTAACTGACTTGGACTTTACCCCTTGTGAGGTCGTGGGTTCATTGCTGAAGGGTTATAAAACTAGGATATACATATAAATATACATGCAAATTACGATTATAATAAGAAAATAAACAGAATGGTTCAAAGGCTGGAGGAGTATTCAAAATTACTAACTAAGACTTACATTATATAAACTTGCAAGACGTCTTGATGAAGCTCGAGTACTTGATTTGAAAACATTTTGATTAGATAATGCAGATAATTGTGTAGGACTTGATTTGCCAGTATGACGACTTTGTACTGTTGACCATGATGAAATAGTTAGATTAGAATTTGATCTTACACCGAGTGATGGAATTTTATCGATAACACCACTATCATCGCTGACATTTGTATTATTATTATGCTGTTTACTGGTGTTCATCATTGTCAGCACAGATGAACTTGTTTTTGAGGTACGCAGTAAACTAGTTGTACTACAATCTGGAGATACGGACTTAGTACTATTAGACGACTGTCGATTATTCTTAAACAGTGAAAACAAAACAAAACGAACAAACAAAAAATAAAAAACAAAAATGAGGAAATGAGAGTAAAAAGTGATTGACAGAATTTATTCAGCATATGAAAATTCGTATTGATTAGTTACAGGTCTGATCATAAGGTTACATTAGTCAGAGAACCCATTGGAAAACCAGGAGGAGCTGACTGACTGACTGGTTACAACATAGAACTTGGCACCGAAGTGCAGCAGTTCGAGTTGCCACGTTCCAAATACCACACAAAGGTAGACAAGACAAGAAGATGAGTGAAGAGAATCAATAGAGTTTTGACAAGTATAAGAGTGAAACAGAATGAGTAATGATGGTAGAAAGGAATACGAAAGATTACCCAAGAGACTGAACACATCTGCGTAAGCCATTGACAACGATTTTGAGCCATGTCACCTACTGTCTCCAGCCATTGATTCTTAGAGTCCCGAGGGCGGGCTCCAACCAGTCAGGAAGTCTGCATCTCCCTACCTGACTCAGTTTAACTGTCAAGGATTTCATGGATTGATGAGGCCATGTTTTTGTTTGGCCACCACTTACTCTTTTCCAACCAACAACACCTATATCAGCTAGTAATGCCCGTCCGTCGGGGGAGGTGATGGTTAGGCATGCGTGGCACGTGACCTAACCATTTCAATCTATGTAACTTTATAGCCTCTTCGATTGATTTTCCCTCTTTGCCCAACCAACACTCTACGCCTAACGTCAAGATTACTTATCTTATTATACCACCTAACGTGAGAAAGAGATCGTAAACATCTGTGGTCAAAAACAGACAACCTTTTCATGTCTTCAACTCCTATTGGCCATGTTTCAGAGCCATAGAGAAGGACGGAGCGAACTGCTGAGTAGTACACACGTCCCTTGGTTGATAGTCGGATGTCACGCCTATGCCAGAGATGGTGTCAGTTAGCGAAAGCAGCCCGAGCTTTTTGGATCCGTGCTGAGATTTCGTCACCAATCAATCCGTTGGTGCTGATACAACTTCCCAAATAGGTGAAGTGGTCGACATGTTCTGTCACTTCACTCCCTATCACTAAGCTAGGAGTTGACGTAGTCCAGTCGTAGTCCAGTCCCTACCGAAAGCTGCTACCTTGACGTGGTGGTCAGGCTTGAACACCGCAATGACCCAACAAACTACTCTGGCTGAGACTTATGTCGCTTGAGGTCCTACCATGCCAGAAAGGTTGTTTGGATAGCGGTTAGACAAAAAGCAGCTACCCAATCCAATGCTATGACCCAAACAGAATCACAAAATGTCATGCCGGATCGATCGGGGCCCGGATTAACAATGACCGCGCTTCCTGTTGCCGTGTCACAGGGCAGAAGTGATAAACATGCTACTGAGACACACCAAATAAAAAAGAACAAACAAAAACAGGCCACGTGTGACCGGCCTCAAGCAGTTGTCCCCTGGGCTCTGCGGTCGCGCAACCAACTTCCACGGTGTGGGCAGCCGGAAAGTAACAATCGCCCTCACAATCCGAAACGCACGCGAAACCTCTCTATGATGAAATCCTGTAACCAATCAACCAAATCCCTACAAACCAACACTTGAATATCGATGAGATGCTCACTAGCGACTTGCCCTATTCAGGTAGGTAGTTACCTGGGGTTCTAGTGAGAAGTCGTGACCAGTAGGGTGCAGCAGGTGGTCGGGTGTGAGGACAAATACTCGCCGAAGACATTGGCTAGGGGTTGCGCTATGTCGTGAATTGGCAGAAGTTAGAATTCATGCACTGGCCATTGGATCAGGTCCCAGTGAGTGGCTTAATGGTCTACGAGCTCGCTAGCCTTGTAACCAGAAGGTCCTGGGTTCAAACCGTGGCGGTGGGTGGGTGCATACTGCTGAAAAGTCCCAAACTAGGCTGACGAAACAGTTATCCAGTACTAAAGTGCACACAACTCGTTGGTTATGGAAGCTGACTTTAATTAATTATATTCACATTACAAGAAGTCATAAAGGTTGTTCTATTTTTGTTTTATCGAAATTAATCGTTTAATTTTGACAGATTCACATGATTGATTTATATAAATAGAAATTTACATTTAGAATTTACGTAATCTCTACAACTAACACGTCATTTACATATGCGATATGTCAAATTATAACAAGCTAACACAAAAAGCATAGATAAAGATTTGACTAATTATAAACACTAAGTGACGAATTAACCAATAAAATAATATGTACATAATTTCATAAGTGCAACTCAGTGACCCAATGCAAGATTCTGTGTTAGGCTATGAGTCAACTAATGTGTCATATAGCTTATAATGCTACTTAGTTGCACAGGCCGAACTTTGTTGTTATTATAATTATTATCTGCTTAGGTTCCGAGTGGAACATAGAAGACCATCAACAGCGAATCTCCATTCCACTTTGTTCTCGACAGTTTTTTTTTTGTTTCATGCCTAACTCCCCGATTACCACCCATAAGCTCACATCTCCTCCTTACATGATCTCCCAATGTCACCATCGAAGACAAGTCCAACTTACAGTTTCTCACATTCAGGTTCCACTCGAGGACCTGCATGGCGCGTATTATTATTATTATTGTATCCTTTAATTCCTAGAGGAACATAGGGCTTCAACCATGCGTCTCCATTGCGTTCGGTTCTCTGCTAGAGTCTTCACCTGGCTCCATGTATGCCCACACGTTTTCATCTCCTCTTCACATGACATCCTCCAAGTCACCCTCGCACTGACGACCAACTCGCAGCTTCCCTTTTGGGTTCCACTAGAGCAATGGCTTGTCTAGTGATGTCACTTGATGGTTTCCTCAGAGTATGGCCAGCCAATCCATCTCCATTTCTTCCTGCATATTTGTTTCACAATCGGTTCCTGGTTGGTTCGCTCCCAGAGATCCCTGTTGCTGATAGCGCATGACGTTATTTAATGGTCTCCTTAGCCCGTATTCAATCCATTTCCATTTTTTTCTAATTACATATGTTGGTCAATAGGTTCTTGGTCAGTTCGTTGCCAGAGTCCCTTGTTGCCTATAGTTTCTGACCAATTGATCTTCAGTAAGCAGCCAACGAAGGCAGCTGGCCTGTCCGAAATGCCTACGGTGACACACCAAGTCTCTGAACCGTTAGTAGCAATGACGTGACCTTAGTGTTGAAAATTTGAATCTCTGTTTTTCTCTGTGCTGAGTGCAGCAAATGTTTCCACTGGTTTCAGATTAATCAAGGCCTATCTTGCCTTGCCTTTTTGATCCTAGCTTTGACATCGTTATTCGTGCCGCTCATGGTTGAAACGACTCTGCCTAGATAGGTAAAAATATCTCATGTTGATGCTGATTGCCGCTTGTTGTTGTTGTTGCTTATTAGGCATTTTCATAATCACCTCTCTCTCTCCTGTCTCCGGTGCTTCTTCTGCCAACTTGTTGTTCTTCGCCTGTAGACATAAATCCTCCAGTAAGTCCAAGTCTTATAGAGTCTTCTTATCAGCTAAATGTATGTCTTCCTCCTCGTTCCACACAAACTATCGATTGATGTGAAAATGATACGAAACCATAATCAATAGGCGTTTGGTTTGAATCATCTATATGAGAGTGTAGGCTAACCAGATTGGGTTGACGTGACCGCCACAAGACAGAATTACACACTAGGCGACATGGCTCAAAAGCGCTATTGTAGTATTGAACATGCATCTCTACTCTATTATTATTATTATTGTTCGTCTTACCTTTCCCAATTGGTTTTATGCTTGATTGACAAATTCTTATTTTTTTATCTGTCCTTAGGTTACCTTTTACCTGACATTTAGGTATGAAGTGATACACGTTCGACAGTTATTAAATAATATTAGGCTCTATTGTTAACAAATTATTTGTAAAATATGTTTCTGACAAACGTTATTCATTACAGAATCAGTATTCATAGCTTTCTGATAACTGTAATGGATATGAATGAGAATTTTTACATATTTGTACTTAAGCCTAGTGAACAAATTTATAAAATACTATTTATAGAAGTATGGGAAATGTTTGTTTTTTTTACAAAAAATTGCTTCACTTACACTGTATTCTACAGATAGATGATTCGGTATAGATGCAAGTGAATTCCTCAAATTACTTTTGACACCATCTAAACCAAGTGGACTTGATGCACTTAATGGTTCACTGGTATCACTTCCAAACTGATTGCGTACATGCTGAGAAAATCCATCACCGCTAGCTCCTTCAACAGGAAACGATGAATCATCTAACTCTTCTTGATCTGCATCACAGCAAGTAAATTTAACAGGCAAGTGTGACCAGCTTGTGCTTATATGTGAAGATGTGAAGTCAGGACTGGTATCATTCGTAGAATTCAATAATTGTGTTTCGCTCATTATTCCCTATTTATAAACGTTTACCAATTAAATTGTTGTTTGTTGTTTTCACTGTGTTTTTTTTCAAAATGTTAACATGAGATTAATTAAATCTAAAAGAGAAACAGAAATAGGAATAAGCAAGGAAGTTAAAAAGTTAGTTTAAACAGTAATGGAAATCATCTGATCAAGTATGCAAGACAAAACTGAAAAAAAAACAGAGAACCTAACGAATCGCATTATCTTGAGGTAATCTGAAGATCAGTGATCCATCGCGGAACTATTCTTTAACTCAGCTCTTCCTAACATTGCGTCACAGACAAATCCGATGCATGATTTTTTTATTTAAGAAAAAAAAAACTGTTTTAAGGGTGATGAAAGCTGAAGTATAGATGCATCTGATAATCACATGTATGGGAAGTATATAAACCAGCAGAGATAATCTTTTATACTGATAAAAAAAAATGTATCATTTGAACATAAGCACGTAATAATGCTGCAAGCGTGAATTTCTTTCAGTTAACAGAGATTTAAGTGATCAGTTTTTCATGCACGTTTCAAAATGTACATGCTTCCTCAAACCATGATACTTAGAAGATACTAGATACTTACTAAAGAATGATGCATCGATCGAAAATAGTGAATTAACGAAAGTCATTCCTAGGGAATTATTCATTTATATATTTTTTTGCTTATACTTACAGAAAATCAGTATTATATGTATTCCAATGCACTTCTAATAATTACTTTTTTCTAGTGACGGAAAACCTGTTACAAGGGTCAATTTGATCCATGAGAATATAACTAACTGGTGGGTGAGTGACAAATTCCTATTTCACTTGGCTGTTTCACCTCGCCTTTGCAGTTTTTCTCGTAAAACAACTCACTGAACTAAGCTATCACCTACTAAAAGTTGAAGCATGATCTTGAGACCAGCTGTTCGTTTGTGTGGCTAATCAGTCAGTGTTATGAGTCACAGAGCACTAAAATCAAACGACTCATGAAAACGATATGCAAATATTTAAGTTAGCCATAAGTACGAAGAAGAAGTTCATCAAGTGTAGAATTTTTCCTATGCATCATTCATTAAGGCTATACAACTTGGCGAGGTCACTTGTAAACAGATAATGATGACATCGAAAAACCTGCTCAAACCAAGGAGTTTTGCTAAGCTTCCTTTGTGTAAGATCAATTTATAAGATGCTTTTATATCAACGACGAAGTATTCCCAAATCTCACCGTACTCAATTTCAAGTTGATTGAAGCCAGTCAATGATAAGGGTACAAAATTTCTTAGTAAGCTAGATTTCTCATGTATCAGGCTATGAGCCACCTTAATTTTATTTTGCTAAGAAGTCCTCCCTTTTTGTAATCAAGACAAGTTTAGCTCCTTACAAAGAGTGGACGTCATCAGATTAGAATTACAAATTTCAACTGACCAGCCTAGTCCTGCTTCATCGAACGTCGCTAGTCGGGAAAGGCAGTGGTTTAGCATGCGTCGCATTTTTCTTCGTTGCATCAACATCAGGAATTCATAACCTGCTCACATAACGCTCAATACCCACCGTCGTTATCATTTAAGACAGTATTTTACCCTACGAAGAAACTTCCGCTCAAGGACCTACAAACTTTCCTATCTTTTATTTTCGACAGACATTTGGAATAGCCGTGAAAAGAACAAAGCGGAATGCTACTCAGTACACACACACACACCATAGGATGTCAGATTTCACGCCTGTAGCAGAGACGGCAACTGATAAACAAGCATTCGTATGTGCACTGAGTTTTGTTAGAAACTCGTCAACTACGTTTGGTGTGACTTTAAGACTAAGTGAGGTGACCTACAAATTCCACTAATCTACATCTCATTTTGAAACTAGAAAACAATGAAGACCAGTGCAACAGCATTATCTTACAGTTAAAGAGTGCAAGTGCATGTCATACATATGCAAATTATGGCTGTTTTTATAGAACTTTGCATATCGTCAGTATTTTTGCCTGAAAAGACTAGATAATCTGTATATCGTAGATTAGTGATACCTTTCCTTGTTCGAATACAGTTGTTCAAAACTGATCTTTTCATGTAACAGGATATGAGCCGCATGTATTGTTTGAAGGGTGATGACAATACCCACTTGAAGAGGCTAAGGCAGGTACAGCTGGATTCAAAACCGCTGTTTACAGGTTGAAAAACGGATGCTTAGTCCAAAGAGCACACATCACACCACATCCATTTCGGAGACATCGTAGTCAACAATGAGCACATTCACTGGAGTCACTGCATATCTCACTAGATGTCATCAATTCAGATGACTTTCGCACAGCTACATAGGTTAAAGCAGTGTCTAGATTGAAAAAAGTGTCTTATAGGCTTATTATTCATACCAAAAAATAACATTAATACCTCCAGACTGGAAAAGTCAAATCCCACCTACTGGTTGAAGTATATGGTCAGTGTTACACAAAAGTATTGATGTTTGTGTTCGAGAACTTGTTGAAGGTTGAACACTTGATTAAGGGCTGAATCCTACTTAGTTTTCTCGATTTTACCCTTCATGAGCACATTTAGTCTTTGTATGACTGTGAACCTTATGAATACAAGTGATTCATTATCTGAGCTGGTTCACAGAGGGACTTTATAGACATTACAATATACCTCTCTGTTTCGCTCATCCATTCTAATTCAGTACCTGCTAATATAACTTTATCTGACCATTCTAACTTTTACAGCAAACTGGGAAGTTTGAGGTAAAAATTTCTTGTCGCTTCACCTGATATTTAGTTACATGATATGTGGAAGGAGAATGAGGAAAGGTAGCAACGCCTGTCCTTGTACTTCCATAATCGTGAGATCTCCTTCAGCTAAATATCACAGAAACAATTGTCTAATAGAATTCAGTAGAGCAGTACACATTGTGGTTATTTACACCAATCACGCACGAAGTAACTCCTGTACAGCTAACATAGTGACAGGCTTTAATCAGCAAATATAGTTGTTTATTATGTGTGCCACAAAAACATATATACAAAGGCTTGTTGACAGACTGACACAGGATTCAGACGCTTAAGTTGTGAAGGCTTTAAGAGAACGCGAACTACGTTTACCTCGTCTAGGTACCTTATTTTTGCCGGAGTCGAGCGAAGAGAATTGTGTACAGTGTCACCAACTCATCTCTCCCCTTCTCACTAGGACAACAAGGCAGCAATTAGCCACCAGTAAAACTTAGTATCAGACTCTCAGATAATAAGCAAGCACCATGACCTATAAAACGTACACAGAATTATATGAAGTACGTAATAAAAATGCATGCTCTCGACTGGTTGAAACCTGAAAATTTTTTGTGTCATGCATTTAAATATACATCATTTCCATTATCAAGTATTAGTAATTATACGTATAATGGTTCCGAAAAAGAATATTTCCAAGATAAGTAAATATGACATAACCTGATTTGGAACTATTTCTAAACGAAAAATATTATCAAAAAATTAATTGGTATCAAAAGAAAATACATACATATATAAACATGCAAGGTACGTAGGCTTAGGCCACGAAACGTTAAGGATAAAGCGAAATGCACAAGCCAACTATGTACCGTCACAGTTGATTTTACGCACTCAAATATTCTCCTCGACAGCTTATTTAAACTAAATTGCATTTCTTGGTAGCCACTTCCAACTAATGAATGAACTATTTTGAATTGTTGTGAATTTGAAATAGTCGAATTTGGATCTTATATATAGCAGTTCTGGTGGACAGTAAGTGCAGTAGGAGGTTTGGTAATTTGGGAAAGGAAGTACTTCATATGTTCAGAATTTGACTCTATTGAGATGTCCAGTATCCATCGCAGCTTTCAAAAACTGGTGTTAATCAGACTGAGATCTCTGAGCTGGCTCCCTGGTTGTGAGTTGATGGTAATTATATTCGGTAAACTCCCTCTTTGTGTGTACCACCAGAGTGAGGCTATGTTCTATGATAAGGTGTCTTCGCGCATTGCATGGGTTATCGCGTTCACGCCTATAGAGACGTTCTAACCGCTCAGTATTGTGAAAATAGATTCTATTTGACTAGTTTTAGGCTTCTGTAGCCGAAAAATGCAATATTTTTGTGTATTGTGTTCGTAGTAATGCGTAATATTGTCATGACAGCGTAGACGAATTACTAATAAAAAAGTCATCATTTTGAAGAAATATCGCATAAAAAGTCCGTTATTAGGGTTTTAGAGCATTTAGGCATTGTTTTTCGTGAGTCGTTTCAGATCTTAAGGTTGTAAATTGACTGCAGGCAATGGCTGTGGTCATCCCAGTTATTCTATGAGAATCGTGCATTTGAAATAGAAATAGCCTAGAGACATAAGTTTGATGTGTGTTTTGAGGATGTCAGACACTTCTTTTATCATCTGTGATGACTGAAATATTCCATAGCACATGGAAGAGATCATGCAATGAATGAGACCGGCTGCTGCATTTCCTGGTGATTATATCTACTTTGATGAAGTTCCCATTTAAAATTGCTTAGGCGAAGACATGATACTAGTTTAATTGACATTAGCACTTGGAATGTCAGAAGGCTTTAATTGTTCATTGTCAAAAATGGCATCAGATTACGTGTATATCAGTGTGTATGGGGTTACGAAGAATACTGCAGATGGTCCTCCTGAAATGTCAGACTACTTAAAATTAGTATCAATTTTCTGTCGATTAGTAGCTAGCAGGTGTGTCCTTCAACTACTGCACCTGTTACATAAGTTATCCCAGTCTTAACAACTGTTCGTGTTCAGATCACTAAGATATTCTGAGATGCTTAATGAATTACTTGTGGCTATGAAGGATATTGAAGAATCACTTATGGCTCATATGTTTAAATCATTTATTATGAAAGAAGTTATCTGTAGGGATTTTGTGATGTTCAGGTTACAATGCTTGAGTGTGTGTAGTGACTGGATGCTTATGTGCGTGAAGGAAAAGTTGGTTGAAACCAAGATGTGATGAAGTTTCCTGTACACTGTTCATTGTGAATGGTTTACAAGTTGACACTTATCATAACCTGTTCTAATTACTCGTTCACTAAGTGAACAACTTGAACTTCTGAAAAAGTATTATTTTATGATACT